TATGTTTTAAATTATTTTCTCCATTTATTTAAAGATTTTACAAATAGGGAAATGTTAAATTTAATTTCTAGTTTTTGTATAATGAAAATTTTAAATTCTGTTCAGAGTTTCTGCCAACCAAAAATGGTAAACTAAATTACAAATAATGTTTATCATTATGTAAGTTATTTCTTAAGGCAAGAAATTGTGAAATGCCCCATGTGAAAATGGACTTGTTGATTTTCTGACATTTATCTTGCTAGGCAGAAAAAACTTCCAAGTATTTAAGAAATCAAGAACAATATTAGTAGTTATGATAATTTCCACTTACTTGTAATGACTTCTAATGTTATTAGAATACTTGGTTAATCTTGTATTTGTTTTGTAATTCTTGTCCAACTCTTGTATGACATTGCATTTAAATCAAATAATTACATAAGATTATATTCAAATAAGAATTCTGTCCCTATATTGTAATTTTAAAATAAGTATACTACTAACATGTATGTATTTATATTTAATTGTATAGTTTACTAATACTTAATCTACCTTGTCATATCTAGAAGGGTATACAAGATTTTTTCATGTTTTGTGATGTCGTACATACGACAAACGATAAGAATAAACACGTCCTCCTCTTCGGACGAGCCGCGAGGCCGAGTAATCGGGTGTATAACGTATCTCTTGGATTTTTCGAGCAGCTTGCCTATTATCACGTAGATAGCGCGAGCAAAGATTTCAATGGTGTCTTTGCCATCAATTTCGCTACCTCTGATGTTCGAGGCGAGCTTCAGAACTTGCTCTTCTGTGAGTAGGACGCCTACGTATTTCAACATGCCTATTGCTGTGTTGGTCCGCGATTTATACTGATAATTGAGGTAGACAACTCACTCACTAAGGATTCGACAAGCTTAAGGTCGATACGTATTGTCAGCCCGTCAGGTCGTGCAAACCGGTGTGAAATTTAAACTGAAGCGAATTCTATCCGTGCTACGATTGCTAATGTGGCTTGATAATAAACTTGAACGTTTCGAAAATCTGTGCGCGGCTAGCTCACGTGCCTTAGCCACCTTTGTCAATTCCCGTCGACCAATCTCGCTCGTGACTCGTATGCGTATGATTGTTGTTTTGTTAAATAGTTCCCATTGAAAGCAGCTATGCGTGAAGACTGAACACTTGTAGAAAACTAGGGTCGATGATGATCAGTCCCTAACTATCCCATATGTTCTATCTTAGTCGTGTCAATAAATAAATAAATAATAACAGTTAGCAACTTAGCATCATGTAGCGCGAGACACTAACTCTCGGCTGACATAGGATGATGCGGACTTTGGGCGAGTGTAGTGCAAATGTACACACACACTGCCTGGTACCAGCGATATCTATTCACCCTGAGCCGCGAAGGATGAAGCCATTGTACCCTGGAGGTCACAATCAACTGACTCCAGGAAAAGGAAGAGGAGCTGGAATAGAGCTGTGGTACTGCTGACCCTGGGCACAATCGAGACGTAAGTCCTTCAACAAACTCCCCCTCTTGATTTTTTGTAATCGTTCCCTTGGGATGTTGAGTGGACGTTCATATGCTGTACTTCTTTCACTGCTTTAGGAGTGTATCCTTTTTGCACATTTATGAGGCCAAATCATCAATGCGCCAAGGAAGGTAATTGATCTCTTGAGAGCACTGATGTGGGTAGAGGTGAACAGTGTTAGATTTGTTACATAGAAATTTCAGTATAGGAAGAAGCACAAATGCTAGCAAATGCGAGTTTCGGTGATTTACAGGAAGGAAACCATCAATACGACCAGTGGTTCTGTCCATCTCTACCAGACCATATCACAAATCGTACGCAGGGTCAGGCATCGTCGTCCATTGATCAAGCATCTGTCGGAAGTCCATCCCATTCCCTTTCAGCCATCCAAGAATCCTAGCATCCCTTTTCGTCGCAGGCATGTTCGCGTAATTCATGCGTGTCTCGTAAGGGTTGTCATATGAACGGCAAACAATAAGAAAACGCGTATCCTCATCCTTCTCTGAATGGCGAGGTATGCTCATCGGGTGAATGAAGTATTTCGGACGATTTCCGTTCAAGATCCGCTGAACGGTGCCATACGCGCGAAGAAAGGAATCATCGCTGTCTTTTTCCTCGAAGTCTTCTTGTAAGATACTCGAGGCAATCTTGAAGAGTTGCTCCGTTGTTAGCAGGACGCCTACGTATTTCAACATGCCTGTCGCCTAGTCAAGTCGTGCGATATATTGCTGAAGTGAAGACGCACTGGAGATCAAGAAGATAGCTGGGATTGTACGTCGCGAGGGATGTACAGGCTTGAGCGAGTGTCAATTGCTATGATAGCTACGTGGATTGGGATGGAAGATGAAGTTCCCCATTCGCTCGTGCAGGTTATAAATGAACTACATCACGTGATATAGCCACTATTTCTTTCAGTTAGAGCTTAGGGGGCTGGCAGGGGCGATATGTTAAATCCACTTGTATAACCACTACACGCTGCGGCATGCCACACCATATTGAGGAAAATGAGTTAATCAGTTAAAACCTGATTGCATGGCTTGCATGAACTTCTGCAGTACAATTACACAAGCCAAATACTGGCCACTTTAAATATAGTACCCCACTTTCTGGCTGATGGGCCACTGTGACTGTAGTATATGGTTGTATGCTGTACCCTGTTTCCATTATACAATTCAAAGAAATTTTGGCTCATCTTGCCCTCATTGAATAAGATCTGAGCCACTTACAAGACACATAGCTAAAGGATATTTGTTAGGACACAAACATTTATCAGTATATATAGTGTGGACCAGGTGTCAAGCCAAGCTTGACATTGCACCCTTTTGGTGAAGAGGTTCTATGTATAGTCTACTATATATAGTAATCCCTCACATAATGTCAAGCTTAGAGCAGTCAGGGGTTTGATCCTGATGTAGGGTTGTCTGTGAGCAAAAGTATTAGGCTGAGAATAAGCTTCCTAAAAGGGGGGGAGTGAATTTCTCAGTTGCTTGGAATACTGGGGCCAGGACTCTATATTAGGATATCTCTCCCTACCTCTAAAGACTGTCAAGGTTAAGCTAGAAATAGTAACCCTTAGGGTCAAACTCTATATACTAGTCATGTAAGGACACATAACTCTAGAGAGGAGAGTAATGTTAGAACACAAACATTTATCAGTATATATAGTGTGGACCAGGTGTCAAGCCAAGCTTGACATTGCACCCTTTTGGTGAAGAGGTTCTATGTATGGTCCACTATATATGGTAATCTCTCACAATATTCTCCTGTAGCTGTATCATTATGAAAAAGTCTTAAGTATTGTATTCACTTGTAATCCTATACATTTTGTACCTTTTATAAATTTTGTCAATGTTAATATAATCTTCATAGGGGGTTAAGCAAGGAAAGTACAATGTTAAATAAGTAAACAAGAATACTTGTAAAACTTGACAATTACAATTATAATAATATAAATTGTTGAGTTATACAAGTGATTATAATATACTTCCTAAGATTATAAGACTAAGACATACTTATTAATTTGTGAAAGTATAATATCTGCTTATAATGTCTACAAGTCATTACAAGTGTTTGAATAGCTTGCTTTTACTTAGTATACAATTTTGTATCAAATAATTAATCAAATATAATTATATTTAAATTATAGAATACAAAAATAGTAAATAATACACTATTTCTACAGTCCCAACCCCTACACTACTAGCTGCCCCTGTCTCATTCTTCTGTGAGTAGGATTTGTGTTGGAAAAGGATGAATGCATTCTCAGACTGTTCAACATAGTCTTTGTTACTATGTTTTAGTTATTACTTGGTCCCTACAAGTTGAATTGTAAGTATGTGTAAATTGAGGTCAAGCAGGTTGTAGTGATTGAGGCTGTGCTTGTGAGACAAGTTTAGAGTGATTAGCAAGTGAAAATAAGAGAGAGAAAAAAACACACTATAACAGTGTATAGTAAGTGTTAGTAGGTTACCTGGGTTGGAAATCTGGAGTGTTGAGCAAGCTAATTTGGGCTGTAAGGGAAAGTGTGTCTGTACAAGTGTGTTGTATGTTCTAGCTACAATACAATGTACAATCAGAGATGTAGTAGACTCAGTAATAGTTGGGGATAACTTCAAAAGTGTATCTCTAGGACATTCTGGCTCAAAGGGAGAGGATAAAGTAGGTAGTACAGGCAGACTCAGCTCTAGAGAGGTGAGTAGTAGCTACTACTTCTGTTATTCAAAATGGTGTTATAGATAGTACTAGGGAATATAAATGTACACAGTATAAGCTTATTAAGAGTAATGTTAAGTATAGGATAGTAGGCAGGGAAGGAGAATGTACAGAGGGTCAGAGAGAGGATTGTGCCTGAGGAGTAGTCATACATAGACATTGTTACAAGTATGTACTCACTAATTGTTGCTTACATTACTGAGTAGGAAGAAGTATACAAATGTATGAAATTATTAAAGAAGTTGTTTAGTATTAGTCAATAATGTGGATGCACAAATGCAAATGTAAAAAAGAAGGCAAGTATAATAAAAAGGAGGACAATAAAGGAGAGGCAATGTAAAGGCAGAGTAAGGAGTAGGAGGGATGAAAGGGAGACAAGAAGTTGGGAGGAGAGGGATGAGCAACTATTGTGCAAGTTATTATAAAGTAGACTAGCTGCTTACACTTTACACTGAAGGACTGTGTAGCCAGCTTAGCCATGTTGTTACAAGATCTGAGACTCAGCACAGGCATTATAGTGGCAGATTAGAGAGACAAATCCAGTAATGTTATTGTCTAGACAGTCACAGACAGTGTGCCTACTGTAAAATGCTTGTAGGCAGAGGACTAGACTGGAGAGAACAAAAGAAACAACATAGTGTTAGGGGAAGAGGGTTAGGGAGATGGTGGAAGTAGGAGGAAAGGAGTAACAAGAGCAAGTGCATCATTATATACTCTCAATCCTCAGTACTCAATTATGTAATCACTTCAATATATTGTAAAAGTAAAACCAAGTTATATTATAAGTTTAACATAGTGATTGTTATCAATATTAACATATATAATTGTATATTATCTTACTAAAAGTATTGTAATTAACTTACAAGCACAATGTATTACTTTTATAACTATTATAATCAATCAACTATTGTTACAAATAAATTATAATAAAATTTTAACATATTATAATAAGAGTTAAGTGCTTATATCTTACATGTAATGTTGTAATAATACTAGTATTAAGCTTACTTACTTTAAAAATACTTGTAGTTTAGCAAAAAGCTTGTATATTCCTTATATTTATATACAATCATTAGAATTGTATTATAAGTAAAATACAATTACTATGTTAGATTGTAATGCTTATGAAATTATATTATTAAATTACTTTTGCTATTATTAATTACATTTGTTGTGACTTTTTTGTGATGATAGTACTGAAAATAGTATAAAATCAAGAAGATATTTGCCCTTCAAGACTCACACAAATCCTAACACCCTTGCCTCCTTCAAGCAGTTTTTAATCAGTTTCCAATTTCCATGGCTGAACAGCCACCTGCTACACCCCTACATATTGTATGTAATCATTCACTAGTATTCAAAAAACCCTTACAACTCACACCTCTACTATATCAGCCAGAGTGGGTTACAGAGCATTTACACTACTAGACAATTAGTTTGCAATACAAGCACTCTCTATATGGTCCTATCAATATCCTTCTGAACCTGATCTTTTTGGCTGTGTAGAACTTCATGGTTAAGCTACAGCCTCTCTTGAGGGAAAGAGTGGAAGTAGAGGGTGTTGGTCTTAGTAAGTACAGTACACACTTGGATAATTTCTGTACTTTACTGACCAGCTTTACAAGGAATTGCTGAGGACAATTTGCAAGACAAAGATAAAGAAGTACTGGATCCAGACATTTCTATAGACTTGTATGTAGGGCCTTCTGGAGAGATTGAGTTTATACCAGACTTTACAATTGTTAAGGCCAATAGTAACATTCACAGGAATACTCTTATTAAGAGGGAAAACTTAAGGGGGGCACACATAGACAAGGGGTGAGGTGACAATTGACTGCTCAGTGTCTCTTGTCCTTATATTGTATGTATTCTAACTGAGACATTATGAAGTCATTGTCTTGTAGTTCATCCATTAATGAACTAATTATCTTATAATACTCCTCTTCAAACTCTTACTAGTCTGAGTAAACTGGTAAGATGTTTGACTTGTGGTACATGTAGTGCTTTAGTTAATATATCTACTTGTTGATTGTTTGTCTGTATGTATTTTGCATTTATGTACTCTAACTCAATGTAGTATTTAATAAAATCTTTCTTATGATCTAAATACTTTGTTTGTTCTGAATATTTGAGTTTGTCCAATGTAACCATTTGTATAACAGTATTGTTATTATAATAGATATTAATTGGTGCATCAGAGACCTGCAGAATCTCTTCAGCTAAATGAGTAAGTACAATTGCTTCCTGTGTTCCTCTTGTAAGAGCTATTAATTCAGCTTCATACATTGAATTTGCCACCAGTGTTTGTCTTTTACTTGACCACAAAACTAATGAATTGCTCAAGTAAAATGCATATCCTAATATTGTACAATGCCCTTCTTACATCATACTGTCTGTGTCTGTATATCTGTTCAATATTGATTGATTTGTACTGCTGAGTTGGAGCCAGACATTCATCACGAAAAAGTCACAACACTTGTA